AAAATAGGCACCGGCTCTGATGGTGATTTGCATATTTGCATCTTGAACTAGATTAGGGGATGGTTTAAAATTAATTCCAGATTCCTTTGAGCCCTTTTTTTTTTTTTTTTTTTTTTCCCTGCGCTTTCAGGAAACGCCACTTGCGAATCTTTGAAAGATGGTCCCGAAATAATTCCCTTTTTTAAAGGCGTTTCTGGGAACTGGAGGAAGCTGAGACGTCGCTCAGTGTTGCTTTTGCCTCCTCTGGTGTCTCCTGTAATCCTTCTGTCCCGGGGGCTTTAGGGAATCTCTGCAGTTCGGAGACCCGGAATGGGAGCGATCCCCGAGTCCAGCCGGAAGAGGGTTTGGTGTGGTGACAGTGAGGACCATCATCCCGTGGGAACAGGAGGTTTTAACAGGGACATTTCGGAAAAATCCAGGCAACTGGAGTGTTCTTCTTGAAGGGAACAAGTTTTACCAGAATTCCCTTGTCTTTTGGCAGAGGTGGCACTGCGAGCACAAGTGTCCTTGGGAAGAGCTGGCAGGGGATGCTCCCAGCCGGATCCAAGGTGCTGAGCCAGGAACTTGCACAGAATCTCTTTTTCTTTTCCTTTTTGGACGTGTTTAGAAGTGAAGGAGCGTTGCAATTCCTTGTGGGAAAGGAGGGGGGCTCGAGGATGTTTGGAGCTCCTCAAGATTGCGAGGATCTGCCTTGTTCCCCTTCCAAGGGGGAGCTGAGTGGAACAGGAATCGCCTCGATGGGACCAGGGGGTTCTTCCTCTCTTGGATTTCCTTTCTCTGCCACCACATCCGTGTCTAAATAACCATGGATCGCAGAGGAACTCTTGGGAAAGGTGGATTTAAGGCCAAATCCAGGTGCTGGTGGGTGGGAATGTCTCCCCCACACACAAGGAGTGGGAAACAACAGCCGTGTCCCTGGAGCTGGGAAGTGTGGCTGAGAAAAGAAATCCAAGGATTTCTTCTCTGATGCACTTTTTAAAGGGGTGGGGGTTTGCACGAGGGAGCAGATGAGCTGGATTATCTCTATCCATATCCTGGGAATGTGGGATTTCTTTCTGTTTCAACGCTGAAAAAAAATCACTTTATTCTCTTCCCTCCTCACTGTAGCAAGGTCACATTTATACCTGCTCTGGCAACCTCTGGGGAGTCATAACCCTTAGACTGGGGAAATAAGGGAAGCGATTCACTGATGAAAACATCTGGATTAAACCCATGGAGCTCCCAGATGTCTCCAGAAGTATTTTTGGTGCCTGAGTTTCACTCCCGATTGGAAGTCCCAGATTCTGGGCTGTGGAGTGACCAACCCCCCCCTTCACTCAGCACCCCCTCCACTGCTTTCACCTTTTATTTAATGATCATGGCCCTCTGTTCACCTGCAGCCTCGTGCTCATTGCAATAAGGTGTTGAGAACCTGCTCTTTTGAATCCCTTTTTTTGTTCAAATCGGTGCAATTGGGAAGGGAGAATTCCTGTCTTTCCTTTCGACAGGCCCTTAATTTTGTCCTGATCCTTCCCCTGGGAGTCGCTCAGCACAAGCAGCACCCGTGGCAATACTGAAGTGTTTTGATAACTTTGTTCCTCGTGTCTTTTAAGGAGGTGGATTGATTTCAATGCTGCTCTTCCAAATTCTTGTCGTTTCGGAGCTTTTTGTTGTTAAGAGTTGACTTCGTTCGAGTTGGTTTGTGGTCGAATTAAACCTCGCTCTCGTTGGTGTGAATCCCCCACGCTGGTTGGGAATTTGGGGTTGGTGTTTTCTCCAAGCTTTGGCCCCAGAGAAACCTCGAGTGGAGCCAGCCAGGCGTGATTTGATTATGTTCAGTTCATTGTTGACTATAAATAATGTACATACTCATTTGTCTGGGGTTTTCTACGCAGCTCCACACACGCCTGGACTTTTCTAAAAGCGGGATTCGTCCTCCTCTCATCTCTTCTCTTCCTCACTCTGTGATATGCAACTTGTAGATAGTGTAAAATAATTTAATTATTATTAAACCGGTGTATTTAGGGGGGGGTTTGCTGTTTCTCTTCACGCTCGTAGACACGACCATATTTATTTTTGAGGCCTGATTGTAACAGAACACGCTGCCAAAGGATTTCTCTAACTCCACATTTCTTACCTGAGGTTTGTACCTGCTGTTTTTCTATCAGGAATTCCCAGTGGAGAACTCCTGCTTTTTCATAGGAACCCTTAACACAGGAACCCCGGGCGACTTTGTAAGGAGAACTCGGTTGGGATACGTTTGTTCCGTGGGTGTTCAGTACCAGTAATCGATCCATTTCCTCCTGCTGTGAGTTGGTGACCTGTTCTTGTCTGTTAAACTTGTCCCTGTCACCCTACCCAGGGTGGGCCGAGGGGTTGTGCTGTCACCTGACCGTGACCAAGGCTTTGTCTGTTCAACTGGCTGCAGAAATAATGTTAAAAATCAGATTGTTTAAACCTTCCAGAGGATGGTGTTGTGTGTTCATTGTGCTGGTGGGGC